ATGTATATACTAGTCAATGTACGTCTTTATATTTGGTCTTATAATCCTAATTAGTTTATTATCATACTTGTATGCATTTTGAAACTAAATAAAAAGCAGACGATCTGCTGATACTTATAGTGCATTTATAACAGGACTGTAATATATGGACATTTTATAGTTTGCCAATGTGAATCATAATTCGCACACACGCCCTAGTATGTCTCATTACACTTCATGGCGAAAACAACAATTCTGTTGAATGCTACGACAAATGAATAAAAACAAAATGCAAATATTAAAATTAAAACAGATTAAATTTATAGGAACAATGTCAGGCTATTACCTTGTTCGAGGAATGTATCCATCAATATAAAAAAAACCCGAGTGATATGCCATTCATCTGCAGCTGTTCCAAGTGATGTGTCTTATATATATATGATATATAGTTTCAGGTATGTCACATTGGTGTATAGTCTCATTGGTCACCCAAGACAGCACACCTGGCAACTGATTGCATAATGTCCACCATTCTTTAAAAACGGTAATTTAGTTAGCCAATAATGAGCAATCAATCACTGTATTGGCGGTTAATCCTTTGTTTTTACGCAGACACAGCCACGACAGAGTGTATTCAGTATAGATTAATAAATCTACATACATAAACACTACCTTTTGACAAATCCGCTGTGTAAGATAAAAGTAATCAATCAATCAGCGTGTTCTCGGTTAATCCTTTGATCGATGTTTATAATGTTGAATATTTACTCCAGACACAAGAAATGCCAAATGAGAACCTTTGTCGGGTAATCTAAGTGGTGTTACCACTAATTATACCTGTTATAAATTCATTAACTGACCATCAAGTGAATGATGACAAATAACATGTGTAGGTTTATACCACCTAACACGGGTTACAACGAGGGAGTATTAATTGCTGTATTGCATGCAATTTTAATTGCATGTGAAAACTTATGGGCCGAAACTGTTTTGAGAATACAAACAGAACTTCATTGTTGCATAAGAAATACATATAAGCATTTGCTGTGTGCTAAAACTGTATGTACCTATTTACCTAAGTAAAATTTCAGATTCTTCTAGCAATGGCAAAATAGGGTTGTTTAGTTTACCGATTCAAATAAATCAAATATCATTTTTTAATATCACACGTAATAGGCGTCATATTTTTACATGACATGATTAAATATCGAGGTAAAAAAACACAGAAATGGGATCAATTTGGATCAGTCATTATACAAATAAGGCCTAACGACACCAAGCGATTTTGACAGAATCGTCTATGAAAACAAGTTGTAACTCGGAAACTAGGCAAAGCAGGAGACAAAATTATATGACAGAAGATTGTGAGAACATATAGCTTTCATTTTCCACAACAGTTGTCACGATTTCAGGTTTATACAAACCTGTAAACAAGATAATTTACCCCCTGAAATGTAGATGAATTCTGCATCGGCCCTCATATCTATTCATCATATGACGTCACAGAGACGCCCCGCTCTGATTGGTTGAAATTTCGTTCGCGGGTGAGAATTGTGCACTGTTGTCAAAAAGGTCGATTTAAGTTAATTAAAGATCGAAGTGAGTCGTTTTAATGACGGGGTTTCATTTATAGCGATGCCAGTTAGTGATTTATTTATTGTACCCCCCTAGAGTATATGTGATCTTTAATGTAATTTCATGAAAATGTAAACTGATATTCCAAAGAGCTTTCAAAATAAACACTGTTTAATACGTGCAATGTATAATTAGCAATATGCAGCTAGAAGAGTTTCAAATAGTATATAGTAAAGCGCCATTGTACATTATGTTTTGGTCTGGACATATTTCACCTTGCACACATCAATTAACAATTTATTAACAACACCCCACTAAATAGTAGCTGCAAACACATTGTCAATAGCAGTATGAGATATTAGTTATGGAGGTCCGCCTTTGACCCCATTCAATTTCTTGTCTGCCAGAATGACCCCACATTATTTTTTAAACCCAAAAATTTCTTTTCACATTATTTTCAAAATAATGGATAATTCGTAGTTCTATACATATGATATCAAAGCATAATGTGTAACATTCAGAAAATAAGTTATAGCTTTCACATGAGAATTTCTCGGAAAAATATGCAATGATAGTATGAATTTAGTGTGCATTCCTAAGAGATGTTATTAATTCAATGTCAATGTTTTTTTATAAGTCACAACTGTTATTTAGTGAAAGAAAACCTTTTTTTGTCAGTCATCAAATGTCCAACCCAAGCTATGGAAATATGTCCTTCTCTCGCTTGTTTCTCTACTCTTACAAATTTCACTAAGTTCTTCTGCGATTGAAACTTTTATCACTTTTCAGGTCAAATGATCAGTTTTGATTTATTGAACTTCGTGCTGATTGGACAGTGGTTACAGTTTATTTTTCCTCAAGCTTAAGGAACATTGGACAGTTTTCCTTTCTCAAGCTAGCGAAATTGTTGACGAATGCTTGTTTGTACTGATTGTTTATTGTTTCCTAAATTTCAGAAGCTGGAAAGCAGGAAGAATGTCCCGACAACGATTGACTGGCCGGAGAAGAAGAAGCAGAAAGTTCTTCTCTCTTGGGGAAAGAGCTAACATTTCTCAAATTGGAAAACCAAATAATATAGATTCATCTACATTGATGAGTTTAAGGAAAACATTCCATACTCACTGCTATTTATTCCCATATTGCTTTTAATTATACGCATGCCAATAATGGTTGTCACCCCCTCCCCACCCCCCCCACCCCACCCACCCTCCAATTAAAAAAAATTAAAGGGGGTGACAACCATTATTGGCATGAGTATATTTATGCATTTTGAAAATGTGAATTTATTAATGTGAACATTCCAAATATCATTTGTTTATCAGCAAATTGTTGAATGTAAATAAACCTATCATGACTTCGTGTTTTATTCTGTTATTTACTTGTCATCCTGACGGTTTTACCATCGTGCAATTGTATAAAATACCTGATTTTGTATGTGTGTTGCATGAAACACAACCTCTTTTCTGGAGGAGCGCATGGTTCCTAGTATGATGATCTACCTTCAGTTGTTGGCGATCTATAGCCCGTTTTTATATTGTATTGTCTTCGTAAATAAAATAGTTTTACATGTTCATGCTAGTTTTACACTCCATCTGAGATACTCTAGTTATTTTACAGTCCTTCGATGACTGATTATTTAGCAATTATTTTGTTTTGTTTATGTATTCTAACTCACTCACTTTGGAGGAGCCTGGAAGGGGCCGGCACAACAGATTCAGTTTCATGGAAACCAGGTTATAAGCTGGGAACTAGGTTGGAAACAACAATGAACTAAGCACCAACAAGAGCCTCCATGGACGAGTGGGTAAAGTCCCGACATGGATACCATCCAGATACTGGTGCAAAATGTAGTTTCAGTTTTAATGGAAACTAGGTTATAACTTGGAAACCAGGTTGAAACCTACAACAAACTAAACATGGAAACGAGGTTGAAACCTCCAACAAACTAAAACATGGAAACCAGGTTGAAACCTACAATAAACGGAAACATGGAAACCAGGTTGAAACCTACAATAAACGAAAAAACGGAAACCAGCTGGATCCTGCTTGGAGGAGTGGGTAATGAATCGCACTGGAAACCAGCCGGAAATGGTGCAAAATTCAGTTTCAGTTTTCATGGAAACCACAATGAAACTATAGGGAACTACATGGAAACCAACTGGAAATGGTGGTTTCCATGTCGTTTCTTCTCAGTTTCAGTGTTCCGGAAACCAACTTATTTTTGTAGTGGATGCGTCAGTACGACACCAAACTGTATAAGTGCCGACACCAGGTGTTTAGGAAAAGGTGTGGTGAAGTGGGATTTAACGTTGCACTTAAGAATATTTCGCTAATATGACGACGTGCATGCGTGTGTATTTGTGGCTGCTTGTACTAGCCTAGACTTGGTTTTATAGTGCCATGCCGCAGTTAAGCATGAATACCCCACTCAGACACAGTATACTGACTCCGAGCCGACCAGTCCTTCTTGTACCCATTCATGCCTAGCGCCAGGCAGGAACCAACAAGTACCTTATTTTAACGTCTTTAGGTATGATGCGGCAGGGGATCGAACCCGCTACCTTCCGCTCTCTGGGCGGACGTTGTAACCACTACACCACGGAGGCGGTCCTACACGAAAAGGATAGATAAGTCCTGCAATGTATTCCGCCCAGACTTGTCACACAATTAGTCGAAATAAGTGCCTAACTCCACTCGCACCTGTCACACAATTAGTAGAAATAGGTGCCTAACTCCACCGGAACTCGTCACACAATTAGTAGAAATAGGTGCCTAACTCCGCCCAGACTTGCCACACAATTAGTAGAAATAAGTGCCTAACTCCACTCGCACCTGTCACACAATTAGTAGAAATAGGTGCCTAACTCCACCGGAACTCGTCACACAATTAGTAGAAATAGGTGCCTAACTCCGCCCAGACTTGCCACACAATTAGTAGAAATAGGTGCCTAACTCCGCCCGGACTTGTCACACAAACAGCAGAAATAGGTGCCTAACTCCGCCCAGACTTGCCACACAATTAGTAGAAATAGGTGCCTAACTCCGCCCAGACTTGCCACACAATTAGTAGAAATAGGTGCCTAACTCCGCCCGGACTTGCCACACAAACAGCAGAAATAGGTGCCTAACTCCGCCCAGACTTGCCACACAATTAGTAGAAATAGGTGCCTAACTCCGCCCAGACTTGCCACACAAACAGCAGAAATAGGTGCCTAACTCCGCCCAGACTCGTCACATAATTTGTAGAAATAGGTGCCTCCATTACGATGGAAGGCAGCATGGAACACAAAATATGTTTCGCCATATGATAATTTAATAATCATTTTTCTTCATTATTTATCCTATGTGGCATAGTAAAACATATTTGCGTTCCGTGTATAGCTTTCCATCCAAATAAGTTACTCGTGCGCCATGTGGTGTAAGGCTAGGAGACACTGTCACGTGTATATGCATGTCAGCAGTGCACGCAGAAACGTGGCGGTATTATTCATCGTGCACCAGGTGTAATGCATTGCACATGTTGATAGTCAGCGAGGAGCAGCGGTGTGCTCTGTTTACCTTCTGCAGAAAGGTACAACCCTATGGGGCCTTCCAGTATATTCTGAACTAGCGAGTCTGAATGCTCTGGAGTCTTTTTTTGTCTCGGGAACTAACATTTGCCTCTCATTTCACATCACATTTCAAGTCACAGGAAGACCAGCAATTGTGATCGTTCATTCTTACTCTGGATACTCCGCCCTGTTGGGAAACTTGGCCTGTGCTGCAGTCAGGTGACTATACCTTTTATGTAACGTATCCTCAAAGAATGTTTTTTTCATGTGATAGACTTTTGAGAAAACTTCAGCGTTTTATTGTAGGTCTTCGTACACATGCTCCCCAAAACACATTCAAAATCATGGAATTGACTATATTCCTCGCTGAGAGTGACAAATACATATGTAACAAAATAAAAATGAGTAAATATCAGCACCAACTTGCTGGTTTCTTTGATTGGAATTCTAGAAGGTAGGTAGATGAAGAATGAGGACTATTGTTATGGATATACAACTTCTTTATTCTATATAGGCGGCGTTTCGACATAGAACAAACTAGGCGCAAACTAGGCAAACTAGGCAGAAACTAGGCAAACTAGGCAGAAACTAGGCAAACTAGGCAGAAACTACGAACTATAGTACTGTCGGAAATAGAAAAAAACTGTTTTTCGGCTCTTACTCTGTATCCCTAAAATTTACACAACTGCAATTAGCATATGTCGAAATAACCCACTTCGGCCTAACTTGGCATTCAGTGGGATGCGTAATAGGATATCCAGAAAAGCATTTTTACTCGTAAAATCGGGCAAAACTTAGAAAAAATGCGAATAGCTGCTGAAAACAATAGATCAGACTATAGATCGCAATTAGGTCGCTCAGCCAGGTATGACGACGGACCGTCGACTCACCTGGCATGAAATGCATGTGCTGCCTACAGGCGCCCAAGGGGTCATCTCAAAGATATTTGGTGCTTTTTCATGTGTGTTGACCATGCCTCATCTATTGATTAACAGCATAAGTGTCTTTCTTTCATAAAGTTTATGTTGAGATATGTAAAAGAGTTTGATACCTTATAACCATAGAAACGCATCGTATTAAATGTCTCAAAATATATACGTGGCATGACAACCCGATCGCGAAGATCGACAGGACTGGATATTATTTGTAAATTGTTATGACATGCCGTGTACTTCCCAAGTATAATTGCCCTATTGTATCTTAGCTGATATCTCTATCCCCAAGCTCGACCCCAACGATCGTCTGCGACACCCGACCCCAGGTTTTGCTTTTGAGATGAACCCACCTATCTGTTTCTTTTTTTAGTGACAGTGAGACTCCATGGTAGCTACATCCTTAATAGTTTCAGCATGAAAGTTATTATTTTTACGCCAGCTATCGTTTATAATGAAGCTACGTCTAATTTCAAATTAGTCACTTAAAAAGTGTCCTTTATAATACAATATCGTCGCACACTAATTTGCCTACAGCCATGGTCTGTTCCAAATAATTCGTTTTGGACTTAGAAAAAAATCGCATTGCACATTTCTGCACTAATCTCTCCTCAGTAAAGTCCTTTTCTACGTTTCTTGTGTCCCTACCATTGAGACTGTAGTTAGGCTGAACTTAGTTTAAGAGATATTTCACACTTGCACATATCAACTCCATAAATTGTAGAGATAAATGAGAAAATACAGTTTTTTTCTATTTCCGACAGTACTATAGTCTACTATCGAGATATCGGACACGAGGTTGTTGTCGTGCATGCATTCCAGTAGACGGTGGTGTGCGATCGATTTGCTGCACCGAATACCCACCGAATACTTGGAAAGTTGCTCCGATTTGCTTTGCTATAGTTGTTGTTTCGGAGTGTATGCTGTATACTGTAGCAACTACATATGCCTAATTGGAAGTTCGAACAACCTTGGTGCCAGTTTTTTCGTACACCTGTCTTGGTATTGGGTCGAAAAATGGGGTTTGTGGTTGCTGAAAAAATGGGTTGTCCTAGCGAAAATGACATTCTTATAACGTTGTTAGCTCGTGCGGAGAAAACCACGGCTATGTTGGTCGACATCTTGTCTAAACTAGACAACGACGATAATGATGCTACTCTCGATGAACTCCAGGAAGAATTAGAAAGTGTAGAGGAGGAACAAGAAGAGACCCGTCTGGATATCCAGAGGAAGGGGCTGATTCTAGCGTCTGCCCAAAAGTGGACCTACCTTTCGCTAGCCACCGTGTTTGTCTGGAAGCACTGCACACCGTCCGACAGACAGGCCGACACACCAGCCGACACACAGGCAGACACGCCAGTCAACAGACAGGCCGACACACCGGCCGACACACCAGTCAACAGACAGGCCGACATTTTGGCCGACACGCCAGTCAACAGACAGGCAAAAATGTAGGCTTTTACGGAACAAAGTAACAGCAGCAGTGAGAGCCGCCAAATTGAAATATATTTCTGATTTAGATGATAAGATCAATCAGGGAAGTAATTTTAAATTTTGGTGGGCTTTAGTGAATAAGTATATATAATCGAAAAATGGAGATTATAAGAAATTTCCTTCGATTATTCATAACGATAATATGTTCAATGATAGCAAAGATAAAGCAAATATATTTAGTGAATATTTTGCTGACCACGCCCAAGTTGACTATCCTGATAAGGAGACTTCTACACTTGAATGTAAAGTAAAGACTCCACTTGCGTCTATTGTATTGACTACACAAGAAGTAAGAGACATACTATTATCAGTTGATATTTCCAAAGCCAGTGGACCAGACAAAATAGGTAACAGATTTATCAAAATGATCGTGCCATCCCTTTGTACTCCTCTTACTAATCATGTGTACTATTTATATTTCTGTGGCAATTTTGTACAATGACTAAAATTTGCAATTAATTGGTCCGTTTCTGACTCAAACGGACTGTATATTATGATCTGTATCCTTTCAACATGAAAGATTCTGCTTCTTGTCACTGTGGAAATGCTTGTGAAAAAGTACATCACTTCCTTTTAGAACAACATTCAAAGAGAGACATTCATGTTAGATTTGAAAAGTACTATAAAACGTGACTCTCCAGGCACACTGTCATTAATGTTACTTGGAAGTCTAGATATGACTATTCAACAGAATGAACTCGTTTTCAAATGTGTGCAAACTTTTATTTATCAATCAAAACATTTTGAGTCATCACTTAAGTTGTGTCCCTTTCGATCTTCTCTCTTTAACTTCCCTATACTTTCTCTCTATCCCTTCTCAAAATGTATAAAATTGAAAATTGAAAACAAGAATAAACTTATAAATTCTTTTATACTAAAATCTGTCAATACTTTTACAATAAATCCGCATAAATTTGATAAATGATTAATGATGTTTAATTCGCAGGTTGCTTGTTCCTATCATGCTGAATATTATTTAATATTTGTTGTATTCATGTATTAATGTAATCGGGAGGTATTCAAGTAACCCGTGTAATGGAGAGGTATTCAAGTAACCCGTTTACCAATCCTTGTTCAATTTGTTTTGAATAAAATATACTATTCCAAAAAAGAAACGCATAACAAGCTGAATGACACGAAAACCGAAGCACTCCTTGTGGGCACAAGACAACAACTAAGCAAGGTGGATGCTGTCACCCTCAAAGTTGCAGATGCGGATATCCGTCCATCAGATGTTGTGAGGAATCTTGGCGTTCACATTGATTCTTCTTTGACGTTAAATGCCCATGTTAACCAAGTGAGCAAAACATGCTTCTTCCATCTCAGGTCGATCAGCAACATTCGCCAGTACTTGACTTCTGCAGCAACTCAAGCCCTTGTTCGAGCTCTAGTAACATCCAGGCTCGACTATTGTAACAGTGTTCTTTCTGGCATCAACTCCAATCTGATTGATAAACTGCAGAGGATTCAAAACACCTCTGCCCGCATTATCAGTAGAACTTCTAAACGTGTCCACATCACTCCTGTCCTTAAAGAACTCCACTGGCTTCCAGTCAAGGCAAGAATCGATTTCAAAAATTCTCTCCCTGACGTACAAATGTCTCCATGGCTTGGCCCCTTCCTACCTCTCTGACCTGCTTCACCCATATGTACCTGCCCGCAGTCTCCGTTCCAACTCTCAGAATCTTCTTGTGATACCCTCCTACAAACTGAAATCTTTCGGACACCGCAGCTTCTCCTACACAGCACCGGCCCTCTGGAATGTTCTTCCATATGACATCAAAGACTCTGACAGTTTTGATAGTTTTAAAGCAAAACTGAAAACCCACCTTTTTCTCAGTATACTTCTCATAACTTCACCAATCTTCATCTTTGTAGCGCTTTGAGCATACCCAAGGGCGTGGAAAAGGCGCATTATAAATGTGCATTATTATTATTATTATTATAACCCAGAAATCTGTTGCGAAAATGTTGTATTTTCAAAGATGTATAACTCGTCCGCAAATAGACTTTAGTACATGAATTGTTACATCAGTTTAGAAGAAGTAAATGCCTATACAACCAAGTGGATAACTTTAGATAGAGGTTGAGCGCGATGGTGACGACGTAGCTCGGTTCCGACGTCGGGTCTTCTGGCTCTCAGCCCAATCTTTCTCGACCTGTTCCGTACAGTTTGAACGGCTATCCTCCGAAGTCCAGGCACCCTGGCTGCTGTGCTCTCACCCGTGACAGTACGATCATGCAAATGTAGTACCCGGATGTACCGATCTTGGGCTGCAGTGGTGACTCGAGGTCTACCTGTCGGGGAAGGTCATTTGTTATACCTGTTTGGTTGTAACGAGTTGCAAGCAGAAATATCGTGCTCAGACTAACATACAGACGCCTGGCAACAGAAGATTGGTAATCTCCAGCGTCCATTCTTTCAATGGCGATGTTCCGTGTCGCAGGTTCAAAACATGCCGTAGTGATTTGACCTTGAAACTCCTTCAAAACGAATCCGATTTCCGAAAGTAATCAGGATTGTTATAGCAAGACAGTGCATGCTCTTTGCTGCATAATTTCCAACTGGAAGGTGATTTCTGTTGCAATGTGGCGATGATTTTTTAATCCTTGTAAGAAATCTCATCAAAATCAACATTTTTCAGGGAAAGTCGATTTTGTACCTGTGCATTTGTGTAAAATCAACAGTTTCGTTACATATTTTGAAAACAATAGGTAATTGATAATTTTAAAATATACAAAACGAGTTTCTATTTTGGGAATATATGTTTGCACTAAATTGAAAATGTATGT